CAGGGCCTTCAAGAGCGCCTCAGAAGGCCCCCAGAGCGATCTAAGAGGGCCCAGAGTCACTGGAAGTCGCTCCAAGATGCCCAAGGTAGCCTCCAGACAGCTTTAACCGCCTCCAAGACGCCCGAAAATGCCTCCTGCACCACTCCCAAGAAGTTCCCTCGAGGCAAAATTCAACGATTTCCAATTAGTTTTTGAAGGTTCTCAGCGTTCTCACCTTTTCTGCCGCCGACGCCCTAAAGCAGCCCCAGAAGCCCCTAAGATCGCTCAAAGACGGCCCACTAAACCTCCAAGAGACCCCCAAACCGCCCACGGGGACTGCAAGACGGCCCAAGTTTCTCCTAAGACGGCGCTGGAGAGCCCCAAGACACCTTCAGGAAGACCCCATGGAGGGGAAGGCCCGACGGACATGTCGATCGCTCGGCTTCATAATCGCTCCCAGAGCCCCCAGGCCTCCGAAGAGCTCTCAACAGGTCTTCGGCCTGCAGATCTCCCGCAGAGCCTCCCCCCAGGCCTCCGAGGAGCCCTCTTGCCTCCAACAAAAATCCTCGGAAGCTCCAAGAGCCCTTCAACAGGCATCCCAACAGACCCTACACGATGGCGGAGTGGGCCGAAGGCCATGAAATACTTTGCCGCTTCGCCTGGTCCAACGAGGCATGGAGCGCGGTTCAGACAACAGTTCCAGGCGGAGGGAGCAGGACGAGATAGGTAAATGAACATTCGGGTGCCCACCTGAATTTATATATATATACATACATACATACATACATACATACATGCATGCATGCATGCATGCATGCATACATATATACATACATACATACATACATACATACATACATACATACATACATACATACATACATACATACATACATACATACATACATACATACATACGTACAGACAGACAGACAGACAGACAGACAGACAGACTGACTGATTGACATACATACATACATACATACATACATACATACATACATACATACATACATACATACATACATACATACATACATACATACATACATACATACATACATACATACATACATACATACATACATATATATTGTTTCTTCCAGAAACGTCGGCCAAGCTACACAAGGATTCTGCCACATCCCCTGCAAGAGAAAGATTTTGGCGTTCTCGCCTGTTCGGCTTCCCCACGCTCCAAGACCGCCCTGAAGGCCCTCAAGATCGTACCAAGACGATCTAAGAGGCCTCCAAGAGAACCCGGCCACGGCCCAAGAGGGCCCTAAGATGGCCCCGGAGGCCTCCAAGACGGACAGAGAGAGCCCCAGGACAGCCCCAGGAGGGGGACCAGAAGAAGGAAGCCGAACAGGCATTTCGAGCCCTCGGCCCCAAGAGGCGTCCAGGCTGCCCCAAGCGGCCCCCCAAGAGCCCCCCAAGAGGGTCCAAGAGGCCCCAAAGAGGCGCCAAGAGAACCCCTAGAGGCATCCGAGGCGCCCCCAGGAGGCCCCCAAGAGCCCCTAAAACCCCCCGAGAACCCTCCGAAGAGACCCCAAGAAGCATCCATGAGGACTCTTACCCACAAACGCAGCAGCGCCGACCAGCAGCGCCGCAAACGCCAACGATGGCACACGAACGCGCACGCAAACGCCAACGATAGCCCAATAAGGGCCAGCGGAATGAGCAAAGCGGCACGTAAAAAACATCATGCTGTAAAAAGTTGGACGGGCAAAGTTCCTGTTGTTATGGGTCGGCACCACAATGAATCGAAGAGGCGATGCACACAGTGTATCCAGGTGGTTCTGCAATTGCTGCATCCTACTTCTCGCAAAATGTGTAACATTGAACATGTGCACCATTAGCGGACCAACTACCCAGTCAAATGCGAACAGGCGCACCGTGCTTATGTGTGTCAAATGCGAACAGGCGCACCGTGCTTATGTGTGTGAGGCCACGGCTGCACGCTTCCGACACACACACACACACACACACCTGTCCATGCCTGGGCTTGCGCTCGCTCTCTGGCTTGTGCTCGCTCTCTGGCGTCACGCGGTCCACATCACACGCCGGCTACATCATCATGCTGACGAAAGATGGTCATAAGTTGGTGCACCATATCTGCTTGTGCGTCCCCTGCCCTGGACAGCAACCCGAACCACATCTGTATGCTTGCGATGCAAGCGCGACTAGTGCTCATGGTCCCTGCTCGGCTCACAGTCCCCACCAACTATCCAACTCCATGGGGAACACATGTTGAATGTCTCTCGCTCTTTCTCTCTCTCTCTTTCTCTCTATTTCTCTCTCTCTCTCTCTTTCTCTGTCGCTATGTATACACGTGCATGTATGCACACATACGAATATATTGTGTGTAGAACGAGACCCCACCCCACTCCCATACCAGCAGCGGCCCAAGGGTGGCAAACTGCACACTAAGCCCCAGGACCTGATGTTCAAGCATTCATGCCGATGGTGCCCACCGCAGGCTTGAAGGCACCATGTCAAATGGAAGCATCGTCATCTAACTTCACGTGCGCCCCGCGATGCGCGACGCGCGTTTGTCTTCGCGCCATCAGGCCGCCACCATAGAGAAGGGGAGCTTTGCCGTCCAGGTCACATGGTGCGAGGCGCAATTATCCTTCGCACCCCCGGCCAAGGCCATCCTGGATACCCTGACCCCTCTAAGTGGTGAGCGTGCGCGGGCGGAGCCCGAAGGCTCCCCGAACAGAACCGAGCGGCGCCCGAGCAGGAGCCCATGCCGAGGCCGAAAATGAGAGCCTCAGCAGGGCCCGAGTGGAGCCCAGCCAGATTCCAGGCGGCCCTCGAGCCTACCTGCGCACCGCAAGCAGAACGGGACGCGGCGGGTAGGCCAGACGACGGGATGGGGGCCAGCGCCGCCGCGAGCGCGCAGGCGCCCCCACCCTCCGCGCGCACACCGCTCCCGCACGGGGCGGGCCACTGCGGCACACTGCACGCCAGGCTGCGAGTCCGCAGACCCCTACCTTCCGGAGGCGCCACGGCGTGTGACACCTCCGGCTGTGCCCCCCCCCCCCGCCCTCCGCCCCCAGGGTCCAAAATCTGGTTCGAGGGGGGTGGGGTCCCCACAAAGGGGGGGGTCCCCTACGAACTTCCCCACGCACACCCGGGGCCCTCGTGGCCTCGAAATCCGCCCCCCACAGCCTGCAAGATGCCCCAGGTGCCTTCCAGCATGGCTCAAGAAGAAGGGCGCCAACACGCCCCAACGGCCTCAAGAGCATTCAAGATGGCCTCCACACGGCGCACGGGGCCCGCAAAACACCTCAAGAGGGTCCCAAGAGGACCGCAAAGAGGGTCTGAGGCAAAAACCATGTACGTCCTAAGGGCTTTGCATTTTTCACGCTCTCGCCTTTTCGGGCTTCTGCAAGCCCTAGGCGCTCCGCGAGGCCCCCACCAGAAGGCGGTCCCTGGGCGCTCTACGAATCCTGAAGGCAGACGAGACGCCGAAGAGGGCCCAGAGAGAGCCCAAGAGGGCCTCAGGACGGCTCGAGCCAGCCAAAAGGGTCTTCAAGAGGGCCACAAGAAGGGCCCAAGAGAGGCCCAAGGCGGGGAACGCGCAGGGAACCCAGGGAACCCAAGGGCCCCCGGTGCCCCCCCTACAACAAGACGGCCCCAAGGCCTTCAACCTGCCGCCAAGAGGCCAACACGAAGCCCCCGGAGGGCCCCAAGAGGCCCCCGGGAGCCACGAGAAGGCTCCCAGGAGGCCGCTCCCGAGACCTCCAAGAGGCCCCCGCGAAGGTCCGTGGCATGCGTGGAGGAGGCGGGCAGCACGACGGGGAGCGGCCAGCAACTCATGCGAGGTCGGAGCCGCACGTGTTCCAGCTGGGATTCGGCGGACTGGCGGCATCCTCTTGGAGCAGGCCAGCCTGATTTTGAACGGCGTTCGGACGGTGCTGCCACGTGGGCCGTCCAGAGGCTCCCCATGGGCCGCCTCGGGCCCTTCTCGGCCCCAGGTTGGGGCTCTTCTCGGGGACCTCCTCGGCCCGTGGGCGCCTCCTGGGCCGTCTTCGGCTGGTCTCGGGCAGGTGCTCTGGCTATTTCTGGCCTCCTGATGTGGATAGGGAGCAAGGGTCAAGAGAGCCAGCGTCCATACCACTGATCGTTGCTGATTGTAACGGGCCGACGAATCATCGACAAATTCCACATCGATCAGCCACACGGCATACCTGAGCCCAGTCGGCGATGAGATGGAGGGGAAATGGAGCGCATGAAAAAAGAGTGAACATACCTGTAGGGATATTTCACCATTTTCAAAATACTGTTATCCTGTCCTGGAACCGTCTGCATCTCTTCCGGCGAGAACTGGAATGGGCGGGCGGTGAACGCGAAGCGGCTTCAATTTAAATAGAGCAAGACGAGGAGGAGGAGGAGGAAGAAGAAGAAGAAGAGGAATAGGGAGAGAAACCTCCATACACATAGACTTTCGGAAGTCTGGCGCCGATCCAAGAAGTCCACGCAGAGCTCCGAAAGCTCATGCTTGTGCTGGTTTCGCTTCTAAGAAAAGCTGGTGGATTCCTTGAGTGCATTTTTTTATTCGCGGCTACAGCGGGCGTTATGGGGGTGGGCGGGGGGGGGGACGAGAGGGGGCATAACGTAGCGACCCCCCCCCGGAGCCCCCCCCAGCCAGTGGTGCAGGACGCACTGCGGCAGTGCCGGGAACGCACTGAGGGGGGGGGAGCGTTACGTATTGGGGGGGGAGGGGGACGGAGGGTGGGGGGCATAACGCGCGAGATAGCCCAGAGGATTTTTTTGTTGTTGGGGGGGGGGAATCTCCTTGGCATGAAGGAGACGGGTTCGGAGGGAAACGGGACGAGGCTTCTGGACGTCTCTGGACCCCCATCTCACGCGAGCAGCACCGACATCCGTGAGGGCCCTGGGCATCGAGACTGGGCAAGGAGGCCCGGTGTGAAAAAGATTCGAGGCCAGGATCTGAAGGCTTGGCAAGTGGTGCCTCCACCGCTCCTCCAGGGCGCCCTCCGTCGGCTGCCAGAGGCCAGCGATCATGCGCAGCAGCGACGTCTTGCCGCAGCCCGAGGGCCCCACGACCAGCAGGCGCTCGCCGCGGGACAGGCTGAGGCTCAGGCCGCCGATGAGCAGCTGACCTGACCCTGGCGCGCGCAGCTCGGCGTTGCGCACCACCACCTTCGAGCGGGTGTCCTCCTCCTCCTCCTCCTCCTCCTTCTCCTCCTCCTCCTCCCTCCTCCTCCTCCTCCTCCTCCTCCTCCTCCTCCTCCTCCTACCTCCCCCATCCCCTCATCCTCATCCTCATCCTCATCCTCATCCTCATCCTCATCCTCCTCCTCCTCCTCCTCCTCCTCCTCCTCCTCATCATCAGCAGCAGCAGCATCATCATCACAATCACCATCACCATCAGCACCATCACCACCTCCTCCACCTCCTCCTCATCATCATCAGCATCGTCAGTATCATCAGCCTCAGCATCATCATCAGCAACAGCAGCACCATCATCATCAACAGCAGCATCATCATTAGCATAATGATCATCAGTACCATCACCGTCAACAACAACAACAACAACAACAACAACATCATCATCATCATCATCATCATCATCATCATCATCATCATCATCATCATCATCATCGTCATCAGAATCCTCCTCCCCATCATCAGCAGCACCATCATCAGCAGCATCAGCATCGTCGGCATCATCAGCATCAACATCATCAGCAGCAGCATCATCATCATCAGCACCACGATCAGCATCATCATCGTCATCATCATCATCAGCAGCAGCACCATCATCATCAGCAGCAGCACCATCATCAGCAGCATCAGCATCATCGGCATTATCAGCATAATCATCAGCATCATCATCATCAGCAGCATCATCAGCAGCAGCACCATGATAATCATCATCAGCAGCAGCAGCATCATCAGCAGCAGCAACACCATCATCACCATCGTTATCAACAACATCATTAGCAGCAGCATCATCATCATCATCATCAGCAGCATCATCATGATCAACATCATCATCATCATCGTCATCAGCAGCAGCAGCACCATCATCAACAGCATCATCACCATCACCATCATCATCAGCAGCAGCGTCATAATCATCATCAGCATCATCAGCATCATCATCAGCAGCATCATCATCAGTATCATCCTTCTTCTCCCCCTCCTCCTACTCCTCCTGCTCCTCCTTCTCCTCCTCCTCCTCATCCGTAACCTCATCCTCCTCCTCATCCTCCATGTTTGGTTGCATTGGCCGACATTAGCTGGATGGCCGCTGCGTCAATGGAAACGCTCGCGATCAAAAAAACGAAGAGCGATCGGATCGCAGCATGCGGTCGACGATCATCACACGATCGACGTGTGCATGTGCGGATGCTGCAGATGCTGGCGCGACGTAACGCTTCAAATCTCAGAGAGAACGCGTTTCGTGGACGCCTGCCTGGTAGGGTGGCGCCTAAGGATGTCATAGCGGGGTCTAGTGGACAGCGTGGTGGAGCCTCTGTGGGCGCGCTCGGGGCCTGTCAAAGCCTCAATGGCGCTTTGGCGGGGCATCCCTGGAGGAGCGGGACAAGCACGAAACCGTGTGAGTAGTTTGGCGTGCGATACCCGAAGCTCTGGCGGGGCCTCCCTGGAGGGGTGGGAAGGGCACGTAAGTTGCATGGTTCTCAAATACCCTCCTCGCTCTGGCGGGGCGTCCCTGGAATGGTGGGACAGGCACGAAGCCTCGAAAATAATATGGTTATCCGATACCCTCCTCGGACAAGCGGGGCCTCCTGGGGTGGGAAGGGCACGAAACCTTGTGAATATAGTAATTTTCCGATACCTCCTCGCTCAGGCGAAGCCTCCCTAGATGGGCGAAAGGGGCACGAAACATTGTAAATAGTACGGTTGTCCGACTCGCTCTGGCGGGGCCTCCGCGATGGAGCGGGGGGTGCCCGAAACCTTGTAAGTAGTTGGGTTATCCGACACCCTCCTCGCACAGGCGGGGCCTCCCTGGAAGGGTGGGCAGGGCACGAAACATTGTAAATAGTACGGTTATCCGATACCTTCCTCGCTCTGGCGGGGCCTCCCTGGAGGAGCGGGACAGGCACGAAACCTTGAATTTAGTATGGCGTTCCGATACCCTCCTCGCTCAGGCGGGGCGCCCCTGGAGGGGCGGGAAGGACACGAAACCTTGTAAGTAGTATGGTTTTCCGACACCATCCTCGCTCAAGCGGGGTTTCCTTGGATGGGTGGGAAGGGCACGAAACCTGGTAAACATTAGAATGATCCGATACCCTGCTTGCTTTGGCGGGGCCCCCCTGGAGGGGTGGAGGGGCACGAAACCTTGCAAATAGTATGGTTCTCAGATACCCTCCACGCTCCGGCGGGGCTTCCCTTGAGGGGTAGGAGGGGCACGGAACCTTGTAAGTTGCATGGTTATCCGATACCTTCCCCGCTCTGCCGGGGCCTCCCTGGAAAAATGGGAAGGGCACGGACCCTTGTAAGTCGCACGGTTCTCCGATACCCTCCCCGCTCTGGCGGGGCCTCCATGGAACGGCGGGAGGAGGAGGGGAAGGAGGAAAAGGAGGAGGAAGAGGAGGACAAGACAGGACATCCACATAAGGGCGTTCAACGTCAAAGCACCTACGTTGGTGCCTTGCGCGCTTCTGACAAAACCCCCTGTAATTAATTGTGCAACGGCCCTCCCTTCTCACCAAAGCCGGCAGAGGGCAGACCACGTAGCTCAAGGAGTGAGCTCCGAAGTGGCCCCGTAAGAGAGGCTCGCTACCTTACGATTACGAGTCCTTGCGGGTCAGCGCGGGGGGAGCAGTTGCTGGCCCTTCCGCGCGCCCTAGAGGAGGGGACGCGCGAGCTTAGCAGCGCGCCCAAGCAAGGGGGGAGGATACGACGACACGACAACTCCAGAAGGAGGGGGGGGAGTCGGTCGGGAGGCCCGTGTTCCCAAATTGTTGCTGGGGGGCCTGGTTACCCTACTGGTTTTATTACAAAATCTCCTCTCCCGCTCGGCTCACCTCTCTTTCACATCGATATGGCCGACAGTTGTCCCACGCATTGTCGTATCTGCACTCTGATACACTGTTGTAATATCCCACTGTCCCCCCTCGAAGTGTATGCGGGGTAGAGCATACTGGTAGTCGCGGTATGTTGCAGGTGGGGCCATCGAGGAAGCACGCTGGTGGACTTCGTGACGATCACTTTTTCCAATCAACACCCTGCAATAGTGTACCTGTGGCACTCCAGAAAATACTTCCCATTCGATGGCAGCGCGGGCACTCCGCGATTGCCCATCCTGTTTGCCTGGAGTAGCACTCCGGGAAAACCTCGCTAATGCATCTCTTGGCTGCCTGTGGGCTCGTCCAGCTTGCCCAGAGTAACACTCCGAGAAAGCCTCGCTGATGCATCTCTTGGCTTTCCAGTGGGCTCCAATGGGTGCTCACCCTGGTGGCCGCTGGAGGAGCTGGCCGTCGTCGTCTCCTCCGACTTGGGGTAGCCGAATTTGTCCTCGAAGATCTCGGTGCCATCCGGCAGGGTCTGCGTGCTGCCTCGTAGATTCTGGCGCTCTTCGAGCCTCTTCACTTCCTCTGGGTCCAGATTGGCCTCTTTACTCAGCTCCCGCAAAACGACCTTCATGACTTTGTGGAGGTTCCCTTCGTCGTTCTTCGAAATCTTCAGCGCCAGTTCACACCAGCTCTGTACAGTAAAAACCTTCCTCCTTGCCTTTTCCCACGCGTCCACAGGGTACCTTGCGATGAGATCGCATCCATCGACCTTGTGCGTCATCGGGGAGGACACGGGGATCAGCTCGAAAAGCTCCTCTGGGCTCATTTTCGTGGCGGCGTCGTAGGATAGTGGCACTCCTTGATGGCATCGTCTAGCTGCTGCGGCAGCGTTTCCGCTATGTTCGCTCTGGGAACGCAAGAACCCCACTCAGGATGTGGGGAAAAACACCCTGACACGTTGGAACCGGAGGGGCCCCTGCCCCCCAACACATTGAGCACCCCTGGAGAACCTGCCCCCCCCCTTGGACACCGGCCTCCCACACCGGGGAGGGAACCTCCGAGGGGGGGGATCGAACCTGGCGGGGACCCCCCAAGCTAAGGGGTGGGGTGGGGCCGGAACCGTGTGAGGCCCCCCGCCCCTTATTGCAGGGGGTTGGTTCGACCCGGGGGGGAAGGGGGCGGAAATGGGAAATTCCAACCAACTAACACAAATTTCAACCACCTTGGTACAAATTGCAACCCTTTGGTACGAATTCCAACCACGTTAATACACATTGCAAACGCGTTGGTACGAGTTCCAACCACTCAGACAAAATCCAACCAACCTCTATGTCTTAGAGGCGTCGTACAAGCGTTGTCGAGGCCTCGCTCGGACGTCCTTAAGGCGTCGCGTGGGCGCCTTAGAGGCGTCGTACGGGCGTTTTCCTGGTGTCGCGCGGGCGTCTTGGGGGCGTCGCACGGGCATGTTAGAGGCGTCGTACGGGCGTCTTACAGGCGTCGCACGGGCGTCTTTGGAGCGTTGTACGGGCGTCTTCAAGGCGTCGTCCTGGCGTCTTAGAAACGTCGTAAGGACGTACTAGAGGCGTCTCAGCTGCATCATACAGGAGTTTAGGAGCGTCGTACGGGCGTCTTAGAGACGTCGCACGGGCGTGTTAGAGGCGTCGTACGGGCGTCGTGTAGGCGTCGTACGGGCGTCTTAGAAAGTCGCACGGGCGTCTTAGAGGCATCTTCGAGGCGCCGTACGGGCATCTGAGAGGCGCCGTACAGGCGTATTAGAGGACGGCGTGCTTGCGACGAACAAGTGGGATAACGATGAGGATGATAATAATGATGATGGTGGTAGTGATGGTGTTGGTGGTGATGATGACTATGGCCAAAAGATGGTGGTGATGATGATGATGATGATGATGCTGATGATGATGACGATGACGATGACGATGACGATGATGACGATGGTGGTGGTGGTGATGATGGCCATCAAGCCCTTAAATTCTTGAACCCTCAAACCCAAGCCCGTAAATCCTCAAACCCATAAGCCCTTAAACCCATTGACCCTTCCAAGACCTTAAACCCTCAAACAGCTCAACCCTCTTAAACCCTAAACCCATAAAACTTTCAGCCCTGAAGCCCAGAAATCCTCAATTTGTTGAGCCCCTCAGGCCTTACACTCATGAACACCTAAACCCTTAACCCTTCAAACCCTTCAGCCCTTGAAACCTTAAGCCGGGATGCCTTTTAAGCAGGTAAACGGTTTAAGAAACCTTAAACCCTTGAGCCCTGAAATCCTGAATCTCTTCAACCTTTACACGCTGAATCCCTCAACTCCTTAAGCCCTTGAGCCTCTAAACCCTTAGCTCTGAATCCTCTAAGCCCTGAAACCTTTGGGTCCTTACAGTGACGTCCCTGGACAAACCAGGTACCAATTCCATCATTGGCAATCATGCTTCTGGAATACATGTGCAGAGAACAAGCAGAGTTGGTTTGGAGATATCAGAAAAACGCCTGACAATTAGAACCATACAGTGACGTTACTTGGCCGTATGGCTTTGGTGCCAGTTTGTGTTTTCGAGCCCGCAGGACAATGTACCAGTCGGTTGGGATTGGTCCCAGCCAGTTGGAATGAGTACCGCATGGCATGCGGGGGGCCCACCCCTGTCCAGGGAGGGAGGGGTTCAAACACGCGGGGGGGTGTGGGCCAAGGGGGAGGTCTGAACTGAGGGGAGGGCTGTCGTCGTCGTCGTTGCTGCCCGACGGCGCCGGCGCTGGCACCAAGGGGAGAGGCCCCACTCCCAGTTCGAAACCCCCCCCATTGCAACTCAGGGAGGGGCCCCTGTGCGCGTCGCCGTCGCCGTCGCCGTCCCCGTCGCCGCCGCCGCCACCGTCGCCGTCGCCGTGGACTTTGCCGTTGCCGTCGCCGTCGCCGACGCCGTCGTCGTCGTCGTCGCCGTCGCCGTCGCCTTCGCCGTCGCAATCGCCGTCGCCGTCGCTGTCGCCGTCGCCGTCGCCGCCGCCGTCGCCGTCCTCGTCGTCGCCGTCGTCGTCGTCGCCGTCGTCGCCGTCGTCGCCGCCGCCGCCGTCGCGGTCACCGTCGCAGTCGCAGTCGCCGTCGCAGTCGCCGTCGCCGTCGCCGTTGCCGTCGTCGTCGTGGCCGTCGCCGTCGCCGTCGCCGTCGCCGTCACCGTCGCCGTCGCCGTCGCCGTCGTCGTCATCGTCAAAGTCGTCATCGTCGTCGTCGCCGCCGCCGTCGCCGTCGCCGTCGCCGTCGCGGTCGATGTTGCCGTCGCCGCCTCCTCTCCTCCTCCTCCTCCTGCTCCTCCTCCTCCTCCTCCGCCTCCTCCTCCTCCATCCTCCTCCCCCCTCCTCCTCCTCCTCCTCCTCCTCATCCTCCTCCTCCTCCTCCTCCTTCCCCTCCTCCTCCCTTCCTCCTCTCCTCCTCTCCTCCTCCTCCTCCTCCTCCTCCTTTCTCCTCCTCCTCCGCCTAATCCTCATCACCACCGCCATCATCAGCATCATCACTCATCATCATCATCTCATCATCTCATCATCATCAGTCATCGTCACCAACATCAATCATCATCATCATCATCATCATCCTCATCACCACCATCACCATCACCACCCTCCATCATCATATCATCACATCATCTCATCATCCTCATCAGCATCATCATCATCATCATCATCATCATCATCATCATCATCATCATCATCATCATCATCATCATCTCATCATCATCATCATCATCATCACCACCATCATCATCATCATCATCACGTCGTCATCATCACCACCACCTCTATCATCATCATCATCATCATCAGCAGCAGCATCATCATCATCATCATCATCATCATCATCATCATCATCATCATCATCATCATCATCAGCACCATCATCATCATCATCATCATCAGCAGCAGCGGAAGCAACATCATCATCATCATCATCAGCAGCATCATCATCATCCTCCTCATCATGATCACCCACTGCATCATCATCATTATAATCATCAGAATCATCATCATCAACATCATTATCATCAGCATCATCATCAGCAGAATCAGCATCATCATCATCAGCAGTATCATCAATATTATCCATATCAGCATAGTCATCATCAGCATCATCACCATCATCATCATAATCAGCATCATCACCATCATCATCATTATCAGCATCCTCAACATCAGCAGCAGCATCATGACCATCCTCATCAGCACCAGCATCAGCAACATCATCAGCATCGTCAGCATCGTCATATTCATGCTCATGTTCATCCTCATCCTCATCATCATCATCACCATCATCAGCAGCATCAGCATCACCATCAGCATCATCATCAGCATCGTCATCATCATCATCATCATCATCATCAGCATCAGCATCACCAGCATCCTGAGCTTCATCATCGTCCTCGGCCTCCTCCTCCTCATCCGCCTCATCATCCGCCTACTCCTCGTCCTCCTTCTCATCCTCCTCCTCGCCTCCTCGAATCAGGAGGCATGATC